GCTTGATCTCACAAAGAGCTCAGCAACTGTTCTTTCTTTCGACGATATAACAAATTTAACCAGTTTCCCCTGGATACCGACATGCCAGCTGCAGCCGTAGTGACTGGTCATCAAAGAACATGCAGAGTCGCATAATATGTAATGATGTAAACTAATAAAATTTACAATTTTCTCTAAGTAACAACAAATGTAGTCATTAAGTGAAAAAGTAAGTTTGGATGACAGCTGATTGACTGTGGAAGACTCATACATCAAGTCTGGAGGACTCGTTACATTTGTTCTAACTGTGAGAAGATTAAAAATAGGAGAAAAATGATGAAAGCTGCATGTTCTCGTGGAACTCGTGGTAATGATTTAAGAACAAATTTGTTCGTACTAACGCCTCTTGCATGAGGCCAATTGGGATGCTTTCTTTCATGCAGCTTGTTTTGGAGATTATCTAGGCATGTTCCGCCAGGAAAAAACAAACCCTAGAGACAGCCCTAAACACGAGAGACCTTATGTCCCTTCTGGCCAGGGAAGTGTTAGATCGTGTTGCAGCAGTGATGAACCTCTGGGTTATTGTTGAATAGATGGCGATGGGCTTAATCATTGGCTTTTATTCTCAGACTGTGATGATAAATCTTAGGGTAAATTAAAATACCATAAAGGCTCAATCTAATACTTTTAAAATACGTAGATTTTTACCGAAGCAAAAACCATCTCCCAAAAAAGTCTACCAATCAAAGTAGATATTTTCTCAACAAAGGTCATTGTCGAGCTGCCCTCATTTAACCTGTGCTTTTGTTTGTGTGACTGCTGCCACTGCTCACCATTTCAGACTTAGCGAATGTCTTTTTCTGTCCACTGAAGCTGTTTTGTTTTAACTGTTTTGGTGACAGACATCTGAGCGGGCTCTACCTGGACTTGCACTCAGGAAATAAACACTGACTCAGCATTCCAGACTACTTTGGAAATTGCTGCTTCATGGCTATTTACCCAACATCAGGGTAATGCTAATTATAGCTGCAGCCTCGCTCAGTCTCTTTGAAAGGAAAGAAAGGCCTTTAAGTTGTTCTTTTCTTTAAAAGCGACAGTTTGATTAAATGCTAAATGATTCTTTATTCATACCTTAATTATAAACAAATTAGCTCAAAAGCTTTGATACAAAACAGTGATGTAAAATATAAGCTTCTAAAAATAAATACTGTTTTCTGACAAAAGCAATTATTTCCTCTGTCTGCGCACCAAAATGGAGCAGGAAAATACACTCACCGGCCACTTTATTAGGTACCCCATGCTAGTAATGGGTTGGACCCCCTTTTGCCTTCAGAACTGCCTCAATTCTTCGTGGCATTGATTCACCAAGGTGCTGGAAGCATTCCTCAGGGAGTTTGGTCCATATTGACATGATGGCATCACACAGTTGCCGCAGATTTGTCGGCTGCACATCCATGATGCGAATCTCCCGTTCCACCACATCCCAAAGATGCTCTATTGGATTGAGATCTGGTGACTGTGGAGGCCATTTGAGTACAGTGAACTCATTGTCATGTTCAAGAAACCAGTCTGAATGATTCCAGCTTTATGACATGGCGCATTATCCTGCTGAAAGTAGCCATCAGAAGTTGGGTACATTGTGGTCATAAAGGGATGGACATGGTCAGCAACAATACTCAGGTAGGCTGTGGCATTGCAACGATGCTCAATTGGTACCAAGGGGCCCAAAGAGTGCCAAGAAAATATTCCCCACACCATGACACCACCACCACCAGCCTGAACCGTTGATACAAGGCAGGATGGATCCATGCTTTCATGTTGTAGACGCCAAATTCTGACCCTACCATCCGAATGTCGCAGCAGAAATCGAGACTCATCACACCAGGCAACATTTTTCCAATCTTCTATTGTCCAATTTCGATGAGCTTGTGCAAATTGTAGCCTCAGTTTCCTGTTCTTAGCTGAAAGGAGTGACACCCGGTGTGGTCTTCTGCTGCTGTAGCCCATCTGCCTCAAAGTTCGACGTACTGTGCCTTCAGAGATGCTCTTCTGCCCACCTTGGTTGTAACGGGTGGTTATTGAGTCACTGTTGCCCTTCTATCAGCTCGAACCAGTCTGGCCATTCTCCTCTGACCTCTGGCATCAACAAGGCATTTCCGCCCACAGAACTGCCGCTCACTGGATGTTTTTTCTTTTTCGGACCATTCTCTGTAAACCCTAGAGATGGTTGTGCGTGAAAATCCCAGTAGATCAGCAGTTTCTGAAATACTCAGACCAGCCCTTCTGGCACCAACAATCATGCCACGTTCAAAGTCACTCAAATCACCTTTCTTCCCCATACTGATGCTCGGTTTGAACTCCAGGAGATTGTCTTGACCATGTCTACATGCCTTAATGCACTGAGTTGCCACCATGTGATTGGATGCTTAGAAATTAAGTGTTAACGAGCAGTTGGACAAGTGTACCTAATAAAGTGGCCGGTGAGTGTAGAAAGCTTTGCAAAACATCATCAAAACGATGTGTAGCTACCGAGCACGTAACTCTTTACTGTAATATTCAGGTGCTTTGGGTAAAGTACTTTAGGTAAAGGTTTTAATCCAGACAAAGCAAAGCATCTCAGACTCTTAATTACAGCCATGGGGAAAATTATGTATTACATGAAGGTGTACTGGTATTAAATACGGGATGCCAGAGCTGCAATAAATATGCGGTCATTGTGTTTGTTGATGAACTCAGTGGAAAATGCAGAAAGCCATAATGAAGCTTTTCTTAGAGTCATAATGAAAGTATTTTTGTTTTTCTGTAGATGACCACTTGTAGAAACTATGTTCTTCATTACTGAGCTGTAGGCAATATGTCATAGATAAAATGCTCTCAGTTACTTTAATTAATAAGACACAAATTGCCTTTTCAACAAAGCACAATATAGGTTTCAGATTACAACCTGTATTTGACCAAAAATAAATCAGTTTTGTTTTTTGTATTTTTAGGGAAAATAGATTAGCACTGTTTCAGCTGTTTAATATGGCAACTGATTTTGTTTCTGCACAGAGATTTAGTTCCATTTTATTTGATCTTCTTTTTTTTATATTGTGGATTGTTCTTATTTTTTTTAACAAATGTAATAATTGTTTTTATTTTTTATCTTTTATTTAAAATTGACTTAAAAAGCAACTCAACCATTCACTTTTAGGTCTTTTGTAGATTTACTTTTTCTTGCAGGTTAATTTGTCAAACAAAAGACCTTCTTTCAACATTAAAAAAATCATAAAATTGTTATTACTCTGATTAGATTACATATTTTGCATATTATATTTTAACTATGAATAAAGATAGGCTTTAAGCCTCAAAGGCCCTAATGTGACACGCTTAAAATGATCCATGAAGGATGGTCAGATTTAGAAGTTTTGTGAAAATAAGTCTTTCTAACTCCTCAGAAAGGACTAAGCTAGCTGGAAACTATTGTGCAGAAAATCATGTGCAGTGCTCTGAACATAAACCTATTCCCTTATATCCTCTCATGTTGTTAAGCTGACATATATACTACTGACATATATACTACTCTTTAATTAGGCTCAAAGCTCCACACTTCTAGAGAAATTCTACAAATTGTGAAATATTATTGGAAACAATAGAACATCTGCAAAGGCTTTGCAGGTTGACATTGTTTTTGTCTGAAATAAATTGGGTGCACCAGAAAAGGGCCAGATATTTTTAAGAGGGCTAAAAACGTGACACGTTACTCAGAATTGTTGAAGGTTGCAAAGTTTGTCTGCCATCACAAAATGCAAATGTTGCAAAGGTTGCCTTGCTGATGCAGAGCCAAGGGTCCAAGGAGAGAAATAGTCTGTAGCCTCACTGAAAGAGATTCTGCTTGCGCAATATAAATAATTCTTCTAAACATTCTCATGAATTCAGTCATTATTTCTCTCAATATTTATACAGAGATTTTAGTCCTTTTTGTACGCATTAACTTATGAATGCTTGTCAAAAGTTTACTGTTTAACAAAGCTTAAAATTAGTTTTCTTTGAGTAAACGGGGCATCATTGAAGTACTTGTCACTGGTTTCCTTGTTTTTGCCCTTAAAATCTAAATCTAATCAGGGGTTCCACAGGTCATTCAATTTGCGTGGAACTGCTTACTGTTGAGCCGCACATTCGGAAAAGAAGCTCAAGGCGGTGAAAAAGCTAGAGAATGGGAAAATGAAAATTACACAGATTTTGCCGTGTCATTGAAGAAAATATTATATATATCTATATATATCTATATATATCTATATATCTATATATATATATATATATATATATATATATATATATATATATATATATATATATATATATATATATATATATATATATATATATGAGAATCATTGGCACTAGTTAAAATTATTTCTAAGAGCATTAAATAACATTAAATTATAGTTACTCATTCCTGTATAAACACTGTTAATGACACATATAAAGAGCTCCTGGGTTCAAGGTGAATAATGAGTCTCAGAGGTGAGACATAGACTGAGCTCTGTCTGTCTGTCTGTCTGTCTGTCTGTCTGTCTGTCTGTCTGTCTGTCTGTCTGTCACCCTCGCCCTCCCTTAACATCATGTTTGAACACAGCCAAAGCTCATGCAGCAAGAAATTATTTCAACACAGTTAGAATTAAACTGTGGATTGAGACTTTTAGTTGTATCCTGTTTTTCTGATAAATTTGTATTCAAAAAAGTATTTTTTTTTAACATTTGAAACTCATATAAAGAAATATTAAGTTATTTGAAATAAAATCCTATAGTCCCTTAACTAACTTTCAATTTTATTAAAATTTTATTTATAGATTCTTTGTGGTAAAGCTTTTACACTGACAGGAAAATCATGAAATGCTTAAAAAAACAACATTCTGCAGAAATTCAACTAATTGAATGCCTCTTCACAAGCAATCAAAGCAGTTTTCAGCTTATCTACTAACATATTTGCTCTAATCTTGACTAGTAATTTCATTGTTATGTCCCTCTCTCTATTGCAGGTTTCTATCGTTTACGAAGGAACGGATGGCATGTCATCGTCACAATGCTGACCGTCTGTAAAGTCATCCCTGTCTTTTGATACGACCCTCCCTCTGGAGGTTCATGTGTCATCAGGACCTTGAGGCACGACCAAACACACACTGATGTTCTCCCTCCTACAGCAGAACCTGGCAGACGTCTAATACCTAAAAGATTGATGAGGTCTCATCTCAGCAAAAGAGTCCTGGCACAGGGTTGATAAGGCAGCTTTCATCCGTTTATATTTTATTCCCTGCCCCTTTCTTTCATTCTTTCTCTTCTATTTCATAAAGCGAGGCGAAGGGGGCAGGCCTTCGGGCATGAGAAAGGATTATGACAGGCAGAGGCCACTCTGCGAGAAGGACTGCGCTTTAGAAAAGAGGAATCATGAAATGGCCTGGATGGGCGTCCTTTGTTTTCTTTGACTGCTCCTTGTTTAAATGTGGTTTGAGAGCTGAATGGGAAAGCGAACTTGGTATGTCGCTGTCGGACCACCTAAGCTGGAATACAGTGAAACTGCAAAAGGAATTGGAAGGAGCTGAAAGCAAATGAACAAACCAACAAGAGATTTACACACAAGACAATGTGTAACATCTCCTTCTGTGATGTGGACAGTAAGGTGGACCAGTTCTTCCAGCCCACACTCTACATCATAGTCATCATCCTGGGGCTGCCGACCAACTGCATGGCCCTGTGGGCTGCATACATGCAGGTGAGGCTCATGCAAACATTACGCGCATATACAAGCATCCTTTCACTACAAACAGCCAGAATGAAACTGCTCTTCTTAATCCAGCTTCAGGGAACACCAGGAGCTTACATTCACCTTATGCAGCCAACCATTTTGTGGCTTTGCATGAATTACAACTTGTCTTAGTGAGAAGATATTGGATTATTTATTACAAACATTTGCAGATAGCGGAATAAAAGCCAAAAAAATAAAAATAAATCAAGCACTGCAGGTAGCTGAGTTATATCTTATTTAAACATGAGCAAAGCAGTTTTATCAATCAGATATTCAAGCAATCACGAACCTTCAACAACAGTAGCCTTATCAGTCAATTTAAACCAAAGCTTTCAGCTACTACCTTTGTTTTTGTTTTGTTGTTTTTTTAATGTTTTTTTTTTTTTTTTGCAGCTGCAGGTGTTTGTGCATTAGGAAAAAAAATCCCTTAATAAAATAAATAACTACGAAATAACTTGCTTTACCTTTCTACCATGTCTTACAAAGTTTTTTTTTACATAAAAACAGGGATACATTTTTAAATCCTGGGGTTAGGGCAGGCTATTTTTATGCTCTTGTATTCAAATAAACGGGTAAGGTTTTCTCTTTAGGGCAGCTTTTGTCAGAGCTTTTGGGATTGAAGCAAGATAAGAAGCAAAGAGGATTTCACCCAGTCTGAAGGAAATGCAGCATCAGTTATCCAGAATCAGTTAGCTCCTAATGCTATGATACATCCTTTTAAAATATGATTGATTAAACATAATGCTTTTAGAAACTAACTAACTACTAATCTTCTGCCATCACAGAGAATTGTCAACAAACTGTTTTCACAAGCAACAGCTGATCAGTTGTGGGGGAGTGGTGGCCTACACGGAAAAAAAATCGAAATCTAGATAAGTCATTTATTCTTCAAATAAGTGCATTTGTTCTTGGATTGAGGACGTAAAAGATACATTTTGCCAATGGAACAAGACAATTTACACTTAAAATAAGAAAACACAACTGCATTGTCTTATTTAAAGTGAATACTATCTAATTATCTTATTTTAAAACTAAAAAGTCTCATTCCATTGGCAAACTACCTCATTTACATACTCAAAATAAGGAGTTAATATGCTCAATTTAAGAAATATTTTACTTTTTTCTAGATCATTTTTCCAGTGTAGTGGTTAGGGCATTGAGCTTGGAATCCAGAGGTTCTGAGTTTGAGCCTGACTCCCACTCTGGGTCTCTGAGCAAGACCCTTAACCCCTGATTGCTCCCCGGGCGCCCGGGGAGCCCAAGGCCGTCCCCTCAGGGGATGGGTTAAATGCAGAGAGTTCATTTGGTTGCTTTGTACTTGTGACAGTATAATGATAATAAAAGTTGCTCACTTGTTGAACAATTAGTCACAATGATAAATCTATGCTATGAACAGTTCAAACAAAGTCCTATCAACATATAAATTTTTTATCCATCCATTTTCCGTCACGCTTTATCCCAGCTGGGGTCACGAGGGGTGCTGGTGCCTATCTCCATCTGTCTACGGGCGAGAGGCGGGGTACACCCTGGACAGGTCGCCAATGCATCTCAGGCCAACACAGGACAAACAACCAATAACGCACACACTCACACCTGAGGAGAATTTAGAGAAGCCAATTGACCTAACAGTCATGCTTTTGGACTGTGGGAGGAAGCCGGAGTACCTGAGAAGAACCCACACATGCTCAGGGAGAACATGAAAACTCTATGCAGAAATACCCTGGGCCGGGAATCAAACCCAAAACCTTCTGGCTGCAAGGCAGCAGTGCAACTCACTGTACTGTACTGAGCAGCTCTACATTTTTTTTATCTGTCTGTAAAGTTTTTTCCTGGTTGTTTTTATCCCCAAACTTGAACCAAACCTCAGAAGTCAGCATCTCTGGTCAAAGCATCATGGAAGAGGACCTTCCAATGGCTTCCACATCTTTCATGTTGCAGAACAATCATTGAAACTGAATTGCCAAACCTATTAATCTCCTTCTCTCTTATACCTATTAAATAAGCTAATAATGTGTAAGAAATGTTCTGTTAGACGATCAATAAGATCAATCAATCATACATTCATTTATTGATCCTTAACTTTCAGCCCAAATAAAAAAAAGAAATAGAAGGTACCTGAAAATACTGTACTCATTGACATTGTATACTACCCTGTATAATTAAAAGAACAAATTGTCCAGATGGATAATTAATATTCCAACTCAATCCTGTTCCCAGTTAGGTTCAGAAATCCACCTGACAGACCAGCAGCATCAGCCCTACAGGAAGTTAGCACTGTAAACAGTAAACAGTTCAGAAATAGACAAAGCTTACTGAAGAGTTACATGCACTGATGCTTTTCAGCTACATTTAACTTCCAATTAACACATCTGACACTGCCTGCTGGATAAAGTCAGAGCCTGGGGGGTATTTTTACATACAGCATCAAACATTTCCAGGATTTTATTTCCTACAGACTGTTAGTTTGCTTTGGCAGCAGCCAGACCAAGTCTTATTGACTTTTCATCTGTTCAGATTTTTGTTTGTCTTTATTTTCAATATGTGGAACACATTTATTACCATATGTGAGGCTGACTGTGAGAGCATCACATAATGATGCTTAATCAGAAACCTTCCGCAGTTATTGCATTCCTCTGGGCCTGTAGCTTTCTTTAAAAACTGGAGGAGGCAAACATATGGCTGTTATCTTCAGATGTGTTGGAACTAATCAACAGAAAAGGAAAAGAAAAATAGCTATCAGTTACCACATGCCAAAATTGCATCAAATAAGGTTGAAGAAGATATGTTTGGTCTTAATGTGCGTCATAAGTAATTCAAATACAGATTAAGAGCACAAACACCCAATGGCGGTGTGATCGAATGATTATTGACATCAGGACTGATGCTGAATTTAGCATGATGTTTAGTTGCTATGCCAATTAGCAGAAGGTGAGCGTGTAACCGTGGCTTTAGTATCACTATGCAGTATGATAGCATCAGAGTTAACGCATGGGAAGAAATATTAAATCTCACGATTGAGGTCACTCTTACTCTTTAGAAAAGGAAAGTTTCTATTAGCTTTTCTAAAACTAGCTAGAAGTCACTAAATGAAGTCATCACCTAATCTGCATATTTGGTATTGCTTTGATCCAACACTAGCAAAACAGAAATTGATCAGGAACATGCTAAATATGTTTAAAACTATAGATCAACTCTGTAAAATCCTTTAAAGGGGTGATAGAATGATTCTATAGAGTATTTGGTGCTGGTCCTTAAGGTCTCTGAATAGGGTGTGTAACATTGGTTGGGCTGAAAATGGCATTGTTGCTGTTCTATGAGCCCTAATGCAAGCCTGGTAAAAGGCCCTAGAATGAAACAACAGGTTTTCTTCCTTTTATGGTATGCTCATGAATATTTAGATGAGCTGTGCGCTGATTGGTTGGTTTACGAGCGAAGCTGCTGAGCAAAGACGCATCATAGCAACAAGCACTCACCCCCTGAAACTTGAGATTGTTGATACGGTAGAGTGACAAGACGTCCTCTTTTTCCCGGACATGTCCTACTTTTCATGCCTAAAAAAACATCTAGGCGGAATTTCAAAATCGTCCGGGATTTTGGTTGACTACAGTGCAGCAGAACCGAGCAGTGAGCTCCGAGGCTGGTCTGGGAACTCCGGCGGACAGGGGGAGGGAGCCAGAGGGGACGAAGCGACCAAACAGGACCCGACAACGGCGGCCGCCTTACAGCTTGCGTTTGTGATGGCCTTACGGGCAGAACAGCTCCTAGTTTCAGTAAAAGAAGTTTAGCAAATCCTGCTTTTAACTGTCCAAGATTTTGAAAGCTGTCTTCGTTAAAATGCTTAGAGGGTTCTTCTGATAGACACAAAAAATCCATGCCTGTCGAGTCTTCGGATTCTAGGGAAGACTGTGAAAATTTTTCACTTTCTCTGTGCAGCCTGCAACTCTGCATTTACACCTCTGGTTCTGCCTCATTTTCAATAGAGAAACTGCCTGCTTTGTAATTCTTGTAGAAATAAACCCAACTGTAGGCTAAACAGCTAAACTGGTGTCTTACATCTACCTCTATTCATGTTCTTGGGCCAGTGAACCAATGGGCTGGTCTGTATGTCAATTTCGGGGCGTGACAAAAGTACAGGCCTGAACCAAAAAAAGCAACATCCCCGAGTTGAGGTTAATTTGGGCTTTCATTTGGATTCACCTGTTTAATGGTGGAAGTTTAGAATTTTGATATTTGCAGAGAAAGGAGGAGATTTGCAGAGTTAGGAGGGTTTAAGCTTCTCTGTACGTCCATTTCACCCACTGAACTAAAGATATTCATCTATGACGGTTTTACATTCTATGACCCTTTAAAGGTTTTAATAATATTTTAGCTGAAGCAAAATGACGGAAATGGCCCCTGAGCAGCCATTACTATTCATTCTCCATGTGCCTTGAAAGGTTTACTATGGGTGTTTTGATGGAGAAGAAATGGCACACGACATGAAACTAACTCATCAGAATTGCCAACGTCCATTCAAAAACAATCAAAGTATCTGTCAACCACCTTCACATGCTCTGCTGGCATGTTGCATTAACCCCCTATGTCTCTAGTCTTGCTTAATGGTCTCATATAACAACTTTGTTTTAGTTTACTAATCTAGAAGACAAACTCCGTTGATAATGCCATTACAGCCTGGTTCTGCTGGAGGTTTCTTCCTGTTACAAAGGAGTTTTTCCTCTCCACTGTTGCTACAAGCATTCTCAGTGTGAGGGATTGCCTTCGAGTCCACGAGTCGATGCAATCAACTGGTTTTCCTTAGATAGAAAACTTTGAATAAATTTGACTGAATAATCTGCTAAAATCGTAAAGTGTCTTGAGATTACATGTGTTGTGAATTGGTGCTATATAAATAAACTGAATTGAATAGCAGTGTGGGAAATAAAGGAACTTGGCCCAAGAAGTATAAAATATGTCTAAAGGTCATCACAATATGTGCGCAGACCTTGCAAGTATGTGGGAGCCTATAGCTGTTGTAGGGACACCTACTTGGCCGTGTCAGCTTTGTAGAAAGCCAGTCATCAACCGGGTGGAAATCTTGTTGTGTTTGAAGAAAGTTGTTCAAAATTAAAATCTCAGAAAGCATATGGAGCAATGCTTTGTGGAAGAGTTTAACCAAAGATTTCCCAAGTTTAGCTGCTGTCGATTTTCAATTACAACAATTTGTTAATGCAAGAATGAAGTGATTTCACTATTAATTGATTAAGACAAAGCAGCAGTTTGATGCATGCAGCTTACAACAGTGAAACAGTGAAATGAACATTACTGTTTATAAAGTTTATAAAGAACAGTCCATGGTGGAAGGGATGAAATGTTTTTAAAGGGAAGTCATATTTAAATGTCAAGTCATTCTGGCTTAAACATTTTTATCAGATGATATTGTCCCAAAAGTTAGAAAATTTCTGTCTTAAAATCTGTTTTTTTCCCCCGTTATTTTATGCAGGCCAGTTAGTCATACGTCAGCTTGTACACCTAAATTCAGCCAATCATATATCATCTGTTAATCAAATTTTGTTTCGGTCATAGCATCTTCATTCATTTGTTGCAGCTAATATACGCAACGGTTGAAATAAGAAATAAGAATAATTAAATTAATCATTGAGTTCCGTCCCAGTGTTCACGGGGATGGACGTCTTTGTCTTCGGCAGGCGTAGAGCTAACAGAACTGGCAGCGTTGCGAGGCAAGGGCTCAAACATGTACGGCTGTAAGCCTTCTACACCAAACCAAGCTTGCCGCCCTGGCGTCCTCTTCCACAACAACTTTGTCCCCACTTTCCTCCTCTAAAAAAAAATGTTTGACGGAGGATACTCATCTACGACCTCCGACACAAAACTCTCGTCCTCTTGCATGTTTCTGCTGTACATAGCATTCGTTGAAAGTGTCGCCTCTAAGTGCTACTTGGTCCCAATGTAATTTCCTATTGGGAACCTACTAGCACTAAGTTGCTAACTGGTTAGGAAGATGCTTCCGACAAATGGCCACAACCAAACTGCTTGCGAATCCTCCGCAACAACTATCCCACCCTCTTGATAAACAACCAATCACATTCACATTATTCACTCATGTAAAGTCGTGCACCACTCGGGAGAATTCGGAAATGTAACAGCCGCTTCCCTATGACTTTAATGTCGTTAAGAGGAGCCCCGATGATCCTCTCTGCTGTTCTCACTCTTCTCATGTTCTTCCAGTCTGAGGCTCAGTCAAATGCACATTTCTCCAAAAGCTATAAAAGAAATCAGCTATAAAATTCAGCTAGACCTGGTGCAAATTTACAATTCATCCTCTAATTAAATCTGCTTTACTTACACATAATAGCCATCGATATCAAAGCTTACTTATAAATAGTTGTTTAATGTATAACTATCCATCTACCATTATGCCTTTTATTAACTTGTGTTATCTCTAAATCTGTTCCTTGTTTTTCTTAAGGTACGTCAGCGCAACGAGCTTGGAATCTACCTAATCAACCTGTCGGTGGCCGACCTCCTCTACATCATCACTCTCCCTCTATGGATCGACTACTTTCTGCAGCACGATCACTGGATTCATGGACAAGAGAGCTGCAAGCTGTTCGGCTTTATCTTCTACACAAATATTTACGTCAGCATCGCCTTCCTGTGCTGTATATCTCTGGACAGATACCTGGCGGTGGCATACCCCCTACGCTTTGTTAAGGTTCGCCGAATCAAGACAGGTAGGTTTCTCTTATGTAAAACCATCTTTTGTCGTCTGTGACTATTTACTGAGACAAGATATCTGACAAAGTGACCTAATTAGTCCAACACTAACATTTTTTTTAAGTTTTTTTTATATTTAATTGCCTAAATGATGAAATTTAAGAGAACTTTAAGAAAACAGTGGTGTATTTCCCAAGCTTTACAGGAAAATCAGTTAAAGAAGATATAAGATCGCTGTCATGTAAGAGATTAAAGAGCTCTACATTAAAAAGAAGTCTGCTAAAGTCATTCGTGGAATGACTCAGATCTTAAGCCAAGCTTATTAATAAAGCCCAAGAGTAGAAATGTCAAAGCTGTGTTGACAGTATTTAATATCTATAAATAATTAAGGACTTATGGGAAAGTAAAGTGAAGAACTTCAGAATCAGGTGACGGCTAATCTAAGATGCAAGACAGAGTGGAGCATAGATTAAAAATAATACAATAAAACAAGATTTCAGTGAAAAAATATCATTACTTTAAACAGTATGTGAAGGGGAATAATGAAGAAAATATGCCATTTTGTTCTTTAGCAAAGTAGGATAATCTAGACAAATACATTAAAATGAAAAATAATATTTTTTAGATTGCATCACATTGGATCATCTGGATCATCTTATATTGTAAGAAATTGTTTCAGGTTATTTAGAGCAGAGAGAAACAACTTCATGTTATTTTAAAAGTAGGAATCTGAGCAATCACAGATCACTGCCTCTCCGCCTCAGACCTTAGTTTTATCTACATTAAGTATATTAAGAAATAACTGTCCCCACCACCTAAAAATAACATAGATGGTTTTCTATCAATGCAGGACAGACAAAAACTGATGCATACCGTACTTTTATTTTGGTGGGTTAAAAAAATTATAGAAAATGCTCCTAAATGTCTTGATCAACACCGGGTAAATGGATCACATATCATGCATTCTTAAATAGTTGTCCAGGCTCATCTGTTATGTAAGTGATCAAATGTAAGACTTTTAAATGGTCTTTTTCATAAGAGATTGGTGTTGGGGAAAGTTGCTGGTTCAATATGAATGTAAAAACGTCTTAGGATATCTGAGACCTGCATTGTTTCTTATTTTTATTTTCAGCTCTGGAGCAAATTTTCCAAAAACCTGTAATAAAAAGAAACTGTTGGCTTATTTGAATATGGACCTAAATCATGAGTTAACGTTTTACTGACAAAAATCACTGAGCTGCTGAGGAAGACCTTGGTCAACACCGCTTTACTGGGAGGAATTATGGCTTACAGTCTGCTGACATACCAGCCTTGTTTTGAATTGCTCAGCAGAAACACTCAAAATAACAATAAAACAAAATTTCCAGGTAGAAAAAAGATTCTTTGAAAATACAACCTTATTTCTACCTCATTAAAAAAACATCAAGCAATCAAAGCAAAAAATTACAATGAAATCAGCAAGGAATTGAAATAACATGCTATTCTTGTTAATTAAAGTTGAGATGGTTCCAGAATCTGGTTTCTGATATCTGATCACCCTAATGTTGATATATATTCTTTAGAACATTCAGGAAAAAAACTGGAATGAAGATTTCAATGAATCTACCGAACACTCACTAATCAAACAAGAGATATGTGTTGTTATCCAGAGGTGACGGTTAAAAGCCACATCGACCTGAGCATCCCTGTTGTAAAATGATCATAGAGAGGCAACTGTTGCTGTCAAACAAACTGGGAAGAGTTAAAGGCAAAGACTATTTCCTAGCAATTCTTTAACAAAATCGTCATTTTAGGTAGAAAATGATTCTTCACAGATAAATAGAAAACATATATAGAGACGATTCCAAATCTTAACAGGTTTTGACACCGACTAAAACAACCTCAAAGTCTGACATTGCTTAAAAAAAAAATAAGATACAGCATTTCGGGCTGCTCAGGTTTGCAGTAGGTAACACTGATGCCTTACAGCAAGACAGTTCCATGTTAGATTCCTGACCCGAGGTCTTTTTGCATTGAGTTTGCAAGTTCTCCCTGTGGATGCTCTTAAAAAAATGGCCACCTCAACCTCTAGGATTTCAGTTGGCCCGCTCTAGGAGGTTGGATTGTGCTGAAACTTTTTGGTGCTTGAAGTCCAATTTTAGAAAAACCATAGCAGTTATCAACATAATGTCTTCAGATTTAGAAAGTTGAAGGATTTATCTACAAACAAAGCTTTAAACCATGTTTCTAGGTCAATGTGTAATGTTTATGCCTCCTTTCTCCTCTCTCCCCATTCATTACTATGGGACATTTTGGGGTTGTTTTTCGCAATTTACGTCACCATGGTAACCCCAAACGATGTATAGTTCAAAAAGCACACTTCACATGATCGAGACGCACGTTTTGATATATATTTTATGGGGGTACATCCTGCGGTTTAGGCTGTATTACAGTGGTGGAAGAAAAATAAATAATAAAGAAACCCTTATTAATAGTTTGGTTGTTTGTGTATTTAGCGCTGTATTTAAATCTAAAACCATCCATCCATCCATCCATCCATCTGTCGATCTTCTCCTGCTTCATCCCTCAGGGTCACTGGGGGGCTGGTGCCTATCTCCAGCAGTCTATGAGCAAAAGCAGGGATCCTGGACAGGTCGCCAGTTTATTGCATGGAAAATTTTAAAATCTAAATCTAGTAACAAAACTACTAGATATAAGTCTAAAATACTAGAATAAACTATGTAAGTATGGTTGGTATTTTTCATTTAACTGTTATGCTACATTCACACCGGACGCAGCAGGCGCAGCAAAATGGCGTCTGCTGCTTCATTTTTGCTGCTTGTACCAGTAATTTCTGATGCGCGGCTAAAGCAGCTTTACTGCTCTGGCTGCGTGGTGCAAAAGTGTGTCTGACGCGCGTTGGGCGGAGCTTCACTATCCTTTCTTTTCCCTGCAGCTATATTTGCTGTGATCAGTGGGAATAAAGTAGTTTTAATATGTTTTTAAGTCAGAAAATCCACCTGAAAACTTAATCACTGCAGTCAGTTCATCCAGATTACAATCCCACCTTCCAATATTATTTCTGTCGGAGCCGCTCAGACCCCCACATACCAGCGGTGCACTGTGAGTAGGAACCCCATTCAACAGCAGCGGGGTCGCCTCCTCGCAGTTCACCGTGGCGTCTGGTAGGTGTTTTTCATCAAAATAATCCAAACTGCAGGCACCAGGATAATAAAAGCGAACATCTGTCAGCAGGTTTCAGTATTTTAAGTTAATTTAGGCATCAAACTGTTTCAGAGGAGCGATCACAGCGCTCTGTGTCATCAGCGATGTGTCTGTCTCGCTGCCAGCTCCCAGAGCAGCTTCTCTGATTGGTTGACGTGGCGCGTCAAGCAGCAAAAGTTCAATTTTTCCATCTCGAGCAGCAGCGCGTTTTCGCCGGGTCACTCGCGTTAGATGCTTAAACACTACCGACGCGGTGCTTCAGCTGCTCAGACGCGCTGCGCCTGCTGCTCAAAACGTGCTGCCGGTGTGAACATAGCATTACTGTTCAACTGTTCGACTTCAGAAAAACATGGTCCTCATATATTTCTATATTGTTAAAGAGGAAACTAATTTCTCTCTAAAACTGTTTTGCAAGACCATTTCTCTGAATGTCTTATCCTGGTCTGATAGTCACCAAAATAGGGAATTTTATATTAACCCCCCCAACCACCTGGCCCCACTATGTAAGTATCGGTTCCTGTCACACGGATCTCTGGCTGCCTGGGATGTAAAAGGAAGCAGATCTCAGTGCTTAAATTTTGTCTCTATGTACTAACTTTGTCCATGAATTGCTGGTGCAAAAAGACATATTTCACACAGACAGACAGCGGTTCAAGAAAGAAAGTTAGATAGATTTATTCTTTAACTTTTTTCATTAGCAAAAAAGTGTGTGAAATTTTTCAGTGTAAGGTTTATATCTTTAGAACCTGTCCAATGCCAGGCCATTTTCATTATGAATATAAAAGAGGATTAACTAGGTTTCTGCAATGGCTGTATAGAGTAATTGATGCTATTGAGTAAAGTATTAACTAGATGGAGCAGTGGATGTTTAATCAGTGTCTAATCTTCCCTCCTTTTCCTCCTGCAGCTGTTTTCGTCAGTGCCATTGTCTGGGTCATTGAGATTATAGCCAACTCTGCTCCTCTCTTCCACGATGAACTCTTCCAGGATCGCTTCAACCACACCTTCTGCTTTGAAAAGTATCCAATGCAGGACTGGGTGGTAGGAATGAACCTCTACAGAACATTTTTTGGTTTCCTTACACCATGGACTGCCATGTTGGTGGCCTACAGAGGGATACTAGCAGCAGTGCGATGCAACGTCTCTACAGAGCGACAGGAGAAAGCCAAAATCCAGCGACTGGCCTTGAGTTTAATTCTCATAGTTTTGCTGTGCTTCGGACCATACCATACACTCCTTTTGGTGCGCAGTGTGATGTTTCTGCGGCAGCCGTGCGACTGTAGCTCAGAGGAGACCCTGTTTGCTGCATATCATGTATCTCTGGCTCTGACTAGCCTGAACTGTGTAGCTGACCCCATTTTGTACTGTTTTGTCAATGAGGGTGCCAGGCACGATGTTAGTCGTGCTCTCTCAGCTATTATGTCCTCAGCATGCCAGAGGCGCTCCTCATCTTCACCGTCGCACGCTGACATACTCAATGCTGGCTCTGTCACCATGGAGACACCTCTTTCAACTAAGAAGTCATCCTGTGTGTATGTTGATGGAGGGAAGCCAAGCAGCTACAAGACAGAACTGTTGGCTATGAAAGAGGAATGTCTACAGATGACAATACTGGCTGTTAAAAAGTGATTTCTAGGAAAACCTTGACAGGTTTAAGTCATCCTTCTCTGGAGAGCAGAGTATCCCCAATACATTAGGGGGTATATTTTCCTCTGCAAGGCCCTGGGGAGGTCAGATGTGTTCAGTGGCTGTTGGTTCGTTAAGACCAGGCTTCCACTCAAATGCCAAAATTAGATTTAAGTGAACCTAACAAACAGTATGCAACACCTGAAACTGCTGCTATTGGCTGCTAGCCTGTTAGCACATTCATAGCAAGTTAAATCTGACCTGAGAGGGCCGCTAGATGACAGCTCATGTTCTATGTTGAGTGTTTTTTTGTTTTCCTTTTGCAACCAAATTTGTAAGTTGAGTTTTAATATGAGGCAACTGCTTCCCAATCTGGCTGGACATTGTGGTGACCAGACTGGCAGATTTCAACAGTTAATATTGCAATGTGTGCATTGCATTATTCTACCTTAGTCCCAAACAAATGGGCAGAGCAGAATATCATCATGTTTAAGTTATAAAAATAAAGATCCGTTAAGTCCATCTAATGTTAGAGTGAACCAAAATGTGCATTACTCTCTTTCAACTGAATTGGCTTTTTATCTTTTTATTTTTTTTCCATTTCATCAAAAGACCAGGTGTGAGTTTTCACAAGAAATCTTCCAAACAGACAGTTTTCTGCATAATGGTTTTTAATGGATTCCTATCCTGTATGGATTCCAAGCTGAGGTTTGCTAATTTAAAGTGTCTTATGTTTGGATTTAAAGCCACATTTTGTTCAATTCTAACATAATAATTGGCATTGAAAAAGTTGCTGAGATATCAAGGAAAAGTAAAAAATTTTATTTTTTACTTTAACAAAAAGCCCAAAACTTAAAAAAAGGCATCATTATTTGCTTTGATTTTTAATGCTAAAGGATGCATGCAGGTAAAATCCGACACACCAGCAAAGTGAAACAGTCATTTTCTAATTGAAAGAAACATGTTTACCAAAGCAGATAAAAGTTAATGCTTTTTCCGTGTGTTGTAATCTCTTTGTTGAGGCACCCTGGTTAACCATGCATGCAGTCTACTTCATGGAAACTCCATCAGTGCAAGAAATTTCCCAGTATTTTTCTAGAGCAACCACAGATTTCAACTAAATTAACTTAGAGGCAAGCTATGCCAGCTACTCTGATCAAGTAAACCTGACAGCAAATCATCCAAACATTGAACTGACTGGCCCTAAAATATGACTTTATTAGGAATTTACTGTAAATTTCACTTTTTTTGAGCCAATGTTGTTTTTCATTTGTTTTAAATACAACTTATGTTTTAATGCAACACAAACTGGTAAGATGATGAGACCAATCAAGTTGCTGAACAATTTCTGCAATTGGAGGCATGATTTTAAAACCTGCATATTTGAAACAAAGGATTCACACCAGATTTCATTAGATTCTTGCTGCCACAGGAACTTTAGATAAGTATTTACCCTAAGTCATGATGATATTCTGTTTGAAGATGTAATTTGATTCATTCAGTACAATTTCCTGTTTTCTGGCTCTTAGTGGTTATATCCCTGAAATGAAGATGTTACCTTCACTGAACTCACATGTTACTTTCTGAAACTAACAAGGTTTGAAGACATTACTGCTTGGAATTTGAATTTCCTTTTTTTTTTCTCTTTCTTTTTGGTTAATACACCTTTTCAACTCCCAATTGCACCTTTGGACCTTTATTCAAATAAAAAAAGTCCACACTTAGGAAAATAACCCATCTTATAATTGTCCTGTCCCTAAAGGTCACCTCCAAGGTCAGGAAAATAACCAGTTTCATATGGAGACCTCAATGTTCTGCAGAATTAGAGTTTCAGATTCAACAACTTATGTCTTGGAAACCATCTGTATGTAGACAAAAAAGAATGATGGAAATTTACATCTGGAGTCAAAAAGTGACCTGGAAAATCTAAAAAGTGACCTGAAAGATCCAGAATGTAACTGAAAGAAGCCTCCAGGTTTTAGAAAACTATCTATGTAGTTTCTAAGATAATCCTCTCATATATCAATGCTAATTTCTGAGCTAATGCAGGTATCCTTTAGGTCCCAGATATGTTTCGACACGTTTGGAAAAAAGCTAGCAAGTTCCAGAAAGTAACCTCTTAGGTTTAATAATAAAGCTTGGAAAGTTGCTTGTAAGTGATATTTAATGTCTACTAGCATTTGGTTCTCAATGGAACATCTAAGTTCAGGAAGGTAATATATAAGTTCCAAAACTGTCCCTTTAACAAGGCTTTCAAGTTCTTATAGGTAACCTATCGGTTCCAGTGAAATGGCATCAAGTTCTCTAAAAAAAACAAAAAACAAAATGAAAGTTCTTTAAGTTTAAAAAAATTGACCCGGTAGATTATGGGAAAGTATCGATTGCTACTGTTTTATGCAACTGAAACATAACAGATCAACTGTTTTCATTGCAGGTAGAGTCAGCAGCAGACTTAGAGGGATCAGAAACGTTAATAATATAATTTTAGACAGAATAGGAAGTATTTTGAACATTTGCTGAAGCAAAAGCAGAGAGTTGTGAGTAAAAACTAATTCACTGTCCTAATTTCTTCTCTCAGAACTAAGTTTGAAAAAATTCATAGAAATAATGACCACAAAATAAATTTCAAAAAAAAAAAATATATATTTCTAAATGTATTTAAACAAGGCCAAAAACATATAAAAAAGGCAGGTCTTATTCTGAAGAGTAACAATATTTTTATTACATTACGGCAGTCGAGCACAGTGTTTAATGCCCCTCTTTCTCACAAAAAAATAAATGATTAAAAAAAGCCCATATCATTTTTTTATCCTTTCTGCTTTCATGTCTTTTAAAATATCTCAAAATTCTAATTCCAAGTAAGGGATGGCATTTTTAACCTTTTTTTTTTTCATTTCATAAGGTTTAAATCTTACTATACGCTCTTCGAAAAGACATATATAAGACATTTTCTTCTTCTGAAGAACTAAACCCCAAATAAAATCCAGTGTCATTGTTAGAGGGGTTTGGTTTGGTTTTAATGACTGTTAAAACTAAAGGTGTTACAAAGAGGAATCATACTGTGTTAAAGAGGAAATGACTAGCTAGTCAAAACCAATATAAATAAGACAAAAAAATATTACCGATATTAGTCATTCTTGAAGGATGTGTCTTATTATGGGAAACTAAGCACAAAGTGACCTATAATAATGCAGCATTCCAGCTTCTGCAGAGTTTATCAGAGTAGGATCAGACTTCAAGTCTTTTCCTAAAACTTGGTTTTCTTTACTGTTGGAGTTTGTTATGTACCAGTTGGTTCATGTCAAAGAGGTTTGAATTATGCTTCTGTTTACATTATTCAAAGCTTTGCCAGTAATCATAAAGGTTTTTTTTTTACGTGCTTTTAATGTGTCTTTAGGTCAATATGATTCCAGATCAGTTAACTGGTTACAGTAAATGAAAGCAGATAAGTTCCCTTGTCAAGAAAAAATAAAAAATGAGAAAAGCCTTTCCGAGAAAAATCATGCTTACTTGGCATGAGTTCTGTAAAATGTTGTGCAGATTTATTTTTTGGCGTATTCTCTGCTAGCTTGTGTTGTTGAGAGCTCTGTTGTCTGTGCCATTAAAACAGAAGGTGAAAAGCTGGATGAGGTCTCGCAGTAATTTAACCTTGTCTATGTGAAAAATAAATGATGGAAATAAACCTAAGGTGCTCTTTTTTTTTCAATTTAGGAGAAATGAAAAAGAGTCTTTATAATTAATTCATCTACGGTATTCCACAATTGTAGTTTGCCAGCTAATTTTAGAGTGCTTTATTTATTTTTTTATTTACTTATTTTCATAATAATTTGCCTGTTCTTACGTATTTCTTTTGCTTAGTTAGCCTTCTTTTTTACTTGTATTGGCATTATTTTTAATTAATATAAAGAAGCCCTTTTTGGGGGTGATGTTTGAATATTAAAAGCTATTTTTACTTTTGGTGTTAACAGATCATTGCTTACTGTTCATGTTCTAAATTAGGCATTACATTGTATACTACATTTTTAACTTATAGAAATTCAGTAGCATTGAAAGACATAACATTAATTTTTTTATTAATTTAAAAGAAAAATCTACATTTTGGACTTTGGACATGTAAACATCCCTGTCATCTAGGAAATTATGTTATATGCTACAAATATGCTCCCGTCTTATAATGGATATTGACATCATTGCATTGTAAACAGAGGTGGGTGGCGTACCCAACAATTTTACCCAAGTAGGAGAAGCACTACTTTAACATTTTTTACTCAATTAAAATTAGGAAATAGTTATCAAAGAAATGACTCTGGTTAAAGTAAAAAGTACTTTGTAAAATGACTGCTCAAGTACTGAATAACTGTTGGCTCTTAACATCTGATTTAATGCTTAAAATGATGTAATCAGACCGAGAGTTATGTACAAATTAAAGTATGCAATATGATAAAAAATACAAATACAAACAAGATTACAAAATAACAAATTCAGGAAAAAATAAATCACTTTACTCACTTTATTCAAAGTGAACTTATAAAAGCGCACTTTACAGGATGTAGTTTATATATGTCAGGAAAAGATTTAAAAAACAAAAAAAATCTGCTATTCACTGTATTTTCACCTGATCTGTGAATAGCTAAAATAACTTGTTAATAAGAGTAGAGATACTCTTACAAAATTATAGTTAAGCAAAAAGTACAGTAAAACAATCAGTAAATCAGATTATTTGTATAGCACTTAACACTCTAAATGGGAATCAAAGTGATCCACATATTTTCATGATCTTGGCGCTGATGACTGGCTTATTTACTCATTTCATTCACCTGTCTAACTCTGCCCGGTTTCTCATTGCTGCGTATGTAATCCACCTGCTTCTACCTCTATTGAACCTGCCTGCTACCAGTCATCAGTGCCAGATTGTTTCTCTTGACCCAGTGGGGTGAGTGTGTGCCAGTGTTTTCAGATTTCCTGGTCTGGCTCTCAACCTCTGAGCCTGCCTGTTCTGATCTATTTGCCTTGAATCCTGGGTCCTCTGTCATGAGCCGTGACACATATATAAAAAAAAAGGAGAGGTTGAGCCAAAAAAGGTTAAAAAGAGAGAAAATAAAATACATAAAAGCACGATTTTAAAGAAGATGTAAAATATATTTAAAAAATTATTAAAAATAATTATGTAAAATACATAATTTTACATAAACCATTTCCTGTGGTTTATGTAAAATATAAAACATTAACCATAGCTTAATAACCCTAGAAGGGAAATATTCATCCAAAAAGATGTGTTTTTAGCTGTGATCTTTAAAAGAGCTCACTGATTGGTTATAGCTCCATCCATTCTAGTCTGGTCTGA